AATTCATTAGAGCTCCGAAAATAGTAGAAATGGTGGCGTTTTAAAGCTAGCTCAAAAGGCTTTCGTTGGAGACCAAAATCGCTTAATTTGGATAAGTATTGAAAATACTGCACGTGTTTGAAGTTCATGGACCTGCACTGAAGCCAGTTTATGATGAGTTTCATGGACTAGTTGAGCCCAAACCTCGATTAAGATTAGGGTTAGGGTTATTTATATAAGAGAGGCACATCACATGAAGAGAAGACATCACACAAGGAGTACGCAGCCACCACACTTCCGTCTTTCATCTTCTGCAATTTACATTCAAGTTTGTTACTCTTCTGTCATTATTTTTAAATTCTTGTTTCAATTTTAATTATGTTTCTTCTATTGCGTTTTCAACTTTCTATGGATAGCTAAATCTTTGTATTGATTTTCTGAGAAGAATGCAAGTAGATCTTTGAGGTTTTGTTCTTAAATTTCATATTGTTTGTTCTCTTAACTCTTCATCTTCTAATCTCAGTATTGAATTATAATCTTTTTATGCTTAATAAACCGAAACTTATATCACAATTTGCTTAATTCTATGTTAGATATGAGATTATGTGATGTATGCAATGCTTAATTGTATAAGGATAATTTGGGGTTAATCTTCGCTTAGTTGGTTAATTTCATGTTGGAATAAGGGTTAAGGAAAATTTGGGATTAATCTTCGCTTAGTTGGTTAATTTCATATTGGAATAAGGGTTAAAGCTAATTTGAGATTAATCTTCGCTTAGTTGATTAATTTTGGATTAGAATATAATTTGGGATTTATCTTCGCTTAGTCGGTTAATTTTGAATTAATTTCGTAATCTAGGATAAGTGACGCTGCATTAGAATCAGAAAATCAATTGCATTTTAATCTGTTTTTAATCCACATTTTTATAATATGTTTTTGTTTTGTTTCATCTAATATTTTAATTTTGAAAAACTCCCCTTTTAATTTTTTGTTACTAAAAATTGATAAACTTTGATAGAAATTTGTGGTCTTTGGGAGACGACCTAGGAAAGCTTCCTAGTACTACATTTATCTGTTTTAATTATTTGACCGAGTACGACATCGATCAGCGTTCGTCAAGGAGTACGTTCGGGATAGAAATTCGTCGTCGACGTGGATGTGAATGCCGAGGAATACAAGCACAACGACGTTTGGGGTTCTTGAAGATGGATAAGATTGAATGTGACTTGGTTGAATGTGGGATAAGATTAAACATGGTTCTGGATGTTGTGGGTGGACATTAAAAAATAAAGAAACATGTAAAGTACAAGAACATGTATTTGAATGGTACGTGTATGTACAGAAACATGTATGATACACTTCATTTATAAAGAATGCAAAATCTAATTCATTTTAAAGATGAAATGTATTTAAATTTAAAAATTTGTTTGATGAAGCGTCAATTAAATCAATTACCAAGAAATAACATAGTTGGCCCACAAGTTGGACATCCATTAGCTGGAACTATTGCAGAACATGTTAGCTCTATCCCTTCAGTACAAAATAAGTCTACTAAATTCCCTTCTATTGGACAACACATTGGTCGTACTCCACCACTTGGAGAAAGTTCTAAATCTCTTCTATTTACTTCTCCACCGTTAGGAGCACAATCACTACAACAACTTCCTCACAAAGTCTTCAAGCATCTAAAACTCAAACTCAAGACACATTTTTTTCTCATGATGTTCACAATGTATCAGATGTTCAAAGCACTTGTGATAAACTCATTTTAACACTTGATGGATATGAGTAAATCACTTAAATTTTAACAATGTTATATTTTGTTCACATTCTATGTACAACTTGTACTTTATCACTTTATTTTTGTTGTAGATTTTTTCCTTCATACTTTGCAGCTAATGCCATTGGTGATATTTTCAAAAGTCATTACACTGATGCATGGCCATCATGGAAAAAGGTACCTGAAGTTATTCGAGACATGTGGTTTAGTGAGTTCATGGTATGTATTTATATTAGTTATTAACTTTAAAATAAGTTTTAATTATTGAATGTACTATACATTTACTTGTTTTATTTGGGTACAGAGAAAATATACTATTTTCCCACCTGATCATAGGTTAGCTAGAAGAAACTTTGAAATGCAAGATGCCAACATATTGAAAAGTTCACTAAACAAGGCAAAATGAAGAAGCCAAATTGGCTTGCAGAAGATCTATTGGATATCTTATGCCAACATTGGGGATCAAAATAATTCAAAGTAAAAAGTTTGACTGCAAAAGCAAATCGAGCTTCTGATTGTGGTGGACTTGGAATTTCACTTCATACTGCTAGCTCCATTAGCACTTCTCAGCATAGAGAAAATTTGGTAAAGTTTGCTTTATATTGGTTTATGCATGTATTGGTCATATATGTTGTTCTTTTGAACCTATAATGTATATGTGAATTATGGAACCCTTGGACTACATTTAGGTGTGGAAAGAATGTAACATTAGTTAGTTCAAATTTGATTGCATGGTGTTGTTTATGTTGGAAGAGAAAAATAGTTATTACATTACATATTGTCATGACTTGATAAACTTCTTTTCTTTTATGGTGGATATTGCACTTCTAAATTTGTGTTTTAACCATATTTTAGACAAAGTTGAATGGAAAACCCCCTACCCCATCAGAGTTGTTTCACAAAAAACACCAACGAAAGGATAATATATGGGTGGATCAAAGATTAGCACATGTGGATGTAAGTTTCTTATTTTTCTCCATATGTTAATTTCTTAAACAATTGTATCCTTTTTTTTATGTTTTTATCCAATTCACTACTATTCTATTTTAATGTTATAGGCATAGTTTATTCGTGCATGGGAAGAAGCCTCCCAATCAAGATCTATTGCAGTGAGGCTCTCCGCCTAATGAATTACAACTTTTGTGTAAAGTTGTTGGAATAAACAAAGGCAAAGTATATGAGCTTGGATCTGAGTCAAGCAAAACAATTGGGAAAAATCTTTGTTAGGACTCTACTTCGTTATCTGTCCAGCCTATGAGAGAGGAGATTGAACAATTAAAACACAAGTTATAGGAAGTTGAGACTGAAAGGGATGATCTCTGTGAAAGAATGTTAACTAATGAGAGAAAAACTCAGAAAAATGATAAAATTTTGTTCCTCTTGATGAAGAAGATGAAGATGGATGTTCAACCTCCTGAATTGTGAAGTGATACTTCTATTCTACATACTGTATTTATTTTGTTAGTTTCTGACATCTCCAGAATTATAACTCTTATTACTTTAGTTTATTCTACTTACTTTTAGATTGAATTTTCAATATGCAAAAATGTATTTAATCCATGAATGATGAATTTATTTGGAACAAAATTTGTGGTATTATTTGATGGTTATCTTAGGTAGTGTCATTTTGATATATTTAATAAAAAATATAATGTATTTTATATTCCTTAATCAAATTTATTATTATTTTAAAAATAATATAAAAATAACATAAAATAAGTGACCAGATGTATGTAACCGATTTGGTCATATAATTGGTCATAAAATCAATCACAGAATCGGTGACAGAATTAATCACTAATTCGGTCACTGATTCAGTCACAAAATTGATCACAAATTTAGTCACTGATTCAGTCATAGAATCGATCACAAAATCGATCACAGATTCAGTCACTCATTCAGTCACAAAAGCGGTCACAGACTCAGTCACAGAATCGGTCACAAAATCAATTATAGACTCAGTCATTGATTCAGTCACAAAATCGATCACAGACTCAGTCACTGATTCAATCACAAAATCGGTCACAGACTCAGTCATTGATTCAGTCACAAAATCGATCACAATATTAATCACGAGACTCGATCCACTGATTCGATCCACAGAATCGAGTCACACACTCAATCACCGATTTAGTTACAGAATCGGTCATAGAATCGGTCACAAAATCAATCACAAAATTTATCACTCGATCACTAAATTGATCACTAAATCGATCTCTAAAATTAGCAAACCTCGAATCTATTTCAATCAATATTTTAGTTTTCGGTTGTAGTAAAAGAAATAATAAATATAAAATATTTAAATCTACGTATTTTTTACTACTTGTGATAATAAATACTTTCCCGTTATTTCTTAACCATAAGTTCAAATTTTAATCCATCAAATTTTAGTAGACAGAAAATTCAAATTATCATAAGTTCAAATTTTAATCGGCATGTTCAAATTCTCATACTTATGAAAGTATTTCATTGGTAATTTATAAAATTACTTTTTACATTACATTAATAAATACATTCTATCATTTCACGTTACATTCTATCATTTCGATGTGAAACACTGCATGGTTGTAAAATACTATTTTTATTTTAATATAACAAAGCAAAAATATTGAAAAGAAAATAATATAAGATTATTTACTAAAAAATGAGTGAAAATTAAGTTTTAAGTTAAAAATCGAGTTTTAACTAAAATTAGTTAAAAGTGATTTTACTTAATCCCCGAACTTATTTTGAAATAACTGAAAATTTTAACCATAATTAATTTTTTAATCCAACTTAAAATAATTAAATATAGTTAACTTTTTTAAAAATTTAATTTATAAATTAAAATTATATTTCTAGTTCAATCCGTGATGTGATTCAAGACACCTCTAATAAAAATAAAAATATAAAAAATAGTATATTATTAATATGAAATAAAAAATAAATTATAATTTTAATTATTTTATTCTTAATAAAATTAAAATATTTTTATTTTTCTAAAAATTGAAAAAATATATATTAGATCCATTTCGTCTAATTTTTTTAAACATATTTGAATGTAAGAAAATAAACTTTTATTCAATAATGTTTGTATATGATCACTCACTATAACACAATTCTTATGAGAGTCTGTTCATGAGTTTGGCACATCCCAACCAAAGTGCCTTTATTACACATATACGTATACTTTATTGAAAGATTAAGCATGACCAAAGAACCAATATACTCCATGGTGGTCTTTTAAGCTCAAACCAGAAGCTACTCAATGCCTAACTTCTTTCTTCTCTCCACAATGAACTCATAGACCTTATCCTGATCAGGAAGAGACTTGGCAACACTCTCTTTCTGGAGGCACCGCTTGGCCCAAGCAATAAACTTGGGGCACTCACTCTCTATGTTGAGGTTGCCAAAACTCTCACAGGCTTTGAACCAAGTGTAGAATGGGACAAGTGCTATATCCACAAAACCAAGATTGCCTCCTCCAAAGTAAGCCTTGTCTCCCAGCTCTTCCTCCAACACTTTAAGGGCTTCTATGAACTCCTTCTTCGCACCTTCTTTTTCTTCTCCTTTTGATTGCCAAATTTTTCTTCCAAGATCATATATCTGTTTCACATTATTCAGAATAACAACACTTACATCATTAAAACATAAAATGAATAAATAAGAGGCAGCAACAAGGTAAGGGAATTAACATTGAAGCACAAAAGGTACCTTATTGTCAACATAATCAGCCCAGAATCTAGCCTGAGCTCTCTGATAAGGGTGAGAAGGCAGCAAGGGATTTATGTCACTCCAAACCTCATCAATATACTGAACAGCAATCAGAGACTCACAAATGGGTTTGCCCTTGTGGATGAGAACCGGGATTTTCTTGTGAACCGGGTTCATTTGGAGGAGTAAAGGACTCTTGTTCCTCAAGTTCTCTTCTTTGTACTCATACTTAATACCCTTTTCAGCAAGTGCAATTCTCACCCTCATACCAAATGGACTTGGCCAGAAATCTAGCAGAACCACCTCATCTGCCATAGTTGTTCAACTTCAAGAAGAGCACAGAATGATGAATTTGTTTCAAGTAAGATGGTGATTTGCAGTGCAGAAGAAGACTAAGGCCTACTTATTTATAGCCAGTTTTGAAGTTGAGTTATCAACTTTTTCTGTACTATGCACCGCTTTGACATAATCAAATCTTCGAGCCAGTTTTCCAAGAAAATTTGTATTACACTCATCTTTTATTTTCCTTTCGTGTTTCTACAGGCGTGTATGAATCTAGTACCTTCCATCTTTTAATGCCATTTTGACTAAAGTCATGTCATGACTCCCCCAAACTTGTGTCATGGCTTAAGTAAGCAACACACTTTGTTTATTATTTAGGGCAAATAGTTCTCAAACGTGTGTGAAGGTTCCCAATTTAGCTATTGAAAAGTGAAAAATCTCATTTCCTATGTAAAAAAATGTAAATTGACCTCTAATATGAAAGTTTTATGCTAAACTAATTATTGATTTAATATTAAATTGGTTTTTAAATTTTTTATACACTACAAAAAAAAAAAAACTTATTATCTACGGGTAAAATCCGTAGGTAATGCACTCACCTAAACAAAATATTTTTATTTATTACTACCCCTTTATATTATATTTTCGAAACTTTGAATTATTATTAGATTAAGGAAATTGTCATTAGCGGGATTCGAACCCGAGTACTTCGGAGGTCGATACTCCAACCACTAAACTATTAGGATATTTTGATAATAATTTACAAATAAATTATATTTATATTTATATATTTATATTTATATATTTATATATTTATATATTTATATATTTATATATTTATATATTTATATTTATATATTTATATATTTATATATTTATATATTTATATATTTATATATTTATATATTTATATATTTATATATTTATATATTTATATATTTATATATTTATATATTTTTATATATTTATATATTTATATATTTATATATTTATATATTTATATATTTATATATTTATATATTTATATATTTATATATTTATATATTTATATATTTATATATTTATATATTTATATATTTGTATATTTATGTATTTATATATTTATGTATTTATATATTTATATTAATGTATTTATGTATTTATATATTTATGTATTTATGTATTTATGTATTTATGTATTTATGTATTTATGTATTTATGTATTTATATATTTATATATTTATATATTTATATATTTATATATTTATATATTTATATATTTATATATTTATATATTTATATATTTATGTATTTATGTATTTATATATTTATATATTTATATTTATGTATATATGTATTTATGTATTTATATATTTATATATTTATGTATTTATGTATATATGTATTTATGTATATATGTATTTATGTATTTATGTATTTATGTATTTATGTATTTATGTATTTATGTATTTATATATTTATGTATTTATGTATTTATATATTTATATATTTATATATTTATATATTTATATATTTATATATTTATATATTTACACGAATAAATATAAGTATAATTTAGTTGTAAATTATTAGTAGAATATCCTAATAATTTAGTGGTTGGAGTATCGAGTTTTCAACTTTAAGGTACTTGGGTTAGTGACAATTCTTTTAGTTTAATATAATTTACCTACGGATAGTAATTCAGTAGGTAATTACCTACTGAATTACCCACGAATGACATTACCTACGGATAATATCCGTAGGTAATGGATAATTACTCACGGATAGAATTCCGTAGGTAATATCCGTAGGTAATGTACACTTTACCTACGGATAGTAATTACATATGTAATTACCTACGGAATTATCCACAGATTACATTACCTACGGATAATATCCGTAGGTAATGGATAATTACCTACGAATAGAATTCAGTAGGTAATGTACAATTTACCTACGGATTTTCATCCGTGGGTAATATCCGTAGGTAATGTAAAATTTACCTACGGATTTGTATCCGTAGGTAATATTCCATAGGTAATAGGCTTTTTTTTTTGTAGTGATAATATTATAATTCTATAATACTTAACTATAAAACATATTTATAAGATTATTTTAATATTTAGAAATTAAAACAAGATTATATCTTCTTTTTTTTCATTTTATTTTTTTTCTTCTCTCTTTTTCTCTCAATTTGATACGAGGAAAAAAATATGTTAAGTATGTTTTTAGTTTATATATTTTTATGTGAAATTAAAAATAGTCACTATGTCGTATTTTACATAAAAATGATTTCTATATTTTTGAAATGATTGAAATAGGTCCCTATTTTAAACAACGTTAAGTATATGTTGACCTATCTAACATAAATGGTATGACTCATTCATTATTTGACACATGTAATTATTTAAAAAAATAAAATTAAAAAGTGTCAAACTTTTAAAAGTTATTTAAATCTACATTTATAACATTTAAAATTCATTTAAAAAGAAATTTAAACTTCTCTGTCATATATAAGCCATTTAAATCCAAATTTAAAGTATTTAAAAGTGATTTAAGAATTGATATATGTCCATATCATTCCTTTTGAATTTAAATATAATTCATCTTTAAAATGAATTAGATTTTGTATTCTTTAAAAATGGAGTGTACCATACATGTTCTTGCACATATGCATACCATTCAACTACATGTTCTTATATTTAACATGTTTCTTTATTTTTTAATGTCCACCCACAGCATCCAAAATCATGTTTCAATCTTATCCCACATTCAATCAAGTGGAGGGAAACAAGGGAAAATATGTAAGAATTTTACCGTCGGAACGCGCATCGGAACGACCCAGTGTGCGTCGTTAGAGAACACATGCACGTCCTCTTATCGCTCTCACTCTTCGATGAAGACGAAGACGAAGACAATATTGCCTCTTTGTTCCTTTGACTATTCGTCGTCACCGTTATCGACCGTCGCACCGGAGACTCCGCTCTCTATTCCACTGCCAAGAATCTCACCATCGACGACGTTCATGATGACCTAAAGTGGCGCTGCACTTTGGTGTTCGCGGAGGAGTACGTTCGGGATAGATATTCATTGCCAACGTGGACGCGAATGCCGAAGAGTACCAGTACAACGACGTTTGGGTTCTTGAAGATGGATAAGATTGAATGTGGTTTGGTTGAATGTGGGATAAGATTCAGTGGCGGATCTTCATAGTAATCAAGGGGGCCATGGCCCCCCAAAGTTTTGTAACTTACTTGTATATTTATGATTTTGGCCCCCCAATATTAAATATATCATAAAGAAAAAAGCTGAAGGAATAAATTAAATAAGAAAGATTAAAAATAATTTTATTATCTGACATTTCTATCTTCTCTCACTTTTTCATACTCTCTCATTAACGGTAATATTTTATTAGTATTTAATTGCTTCTCTAATTTCTAAAGAATATATTAAATAAGAAAGGTTAAAAGTACTTTTTCATCTTCTCTCACCTTTTCATATTCACGCACAAACGGTAATATTGATTGATTAATATTAAGTTATTTACGTAGTTTGTACTTTCAAGTTCATTGTTCGTCTCTCATCCTCCCTTCTCAGATTCCATACTTGAAATTATATTGATTGATAAAGGTACTTTTTCTTCATCTTTTCACTGTTTATTCTATTATTGTTTGTTATTTTGATTTTTGTTGAAGAACATTTGTTGTTTGAGAAAACTGTTTTTGTTTTTTATAAATTTTTATGATTCTACAATTAGAAAATTAATAATAGATTCATTTTTCTCTAGATATGAAGCATAAAAGAATAGATTCATTTTTTAAAAGTGATAAAAGAGATACTTGTAGAGATGAAAACCAAACAAATTCAACATCTTCTCCTGTTTCAAAGCATGATATTGATGATCCAATTATTCAATTAGAAGAACCCCTTTCTAAGATTCATAGAATTAAAACTAATGAATTTAATATTAATTCTTTGGAGCGTGACCCAGGAAAACGTCTTCAGATACATGAATATCCTTTGAATCAAAGAGATGAAATTAGAAGAGCTTATTTAAATTGGGGTCCATATCAAATACAACTTAAAAACTATCCTTTTTCTAAAGAGAAACATCCTAGGAGATTTCAATATGGTTGGTTTAAAATGTTTCCTTCTTGGTTAGAGTATTCTCCAACTAGTGATGGAGCATATTGTTTGCCATGTTATCTATTTAGTACACTCGTCAAATGGTCGTCCCGGGGCAGATGTGTTTATTAGACAAGGATTTAGATCATGGAAAAAGGTTAATTCGAGGAAAGAATTGTGCGTTTCTTAGTCATATTGGAGATAGTCCTTGTTCACCACATAACAATGCAATAAAAGCATGTACAGACTTATTGAATCAATCTAAGCACATTGACAACATTATAAATGTGCAAAATTCAGAAGAAGTTTGCAAAAATCGTTTACGGCTTAAAACTTCTATTGATACAATTCGTTGTTTAGCATTTCAAGCTTGTGCATTTAGAGGCCATGATGAAACTCCAGATTCAAGTAATAGAGGTAACTTTCTTGAGATGATTAAACTTTTAGCATCATACAATGATAAAGTAGCAGAAGTTGTGTTAGAAAATGCTCCTTATAATTCAAAATATACTTCTCATCATATTCAAAAGGAAATTTTGCAAATTTTTTCTAGAAAAGTAAGAAATTATATTCGTGAAGAAATTGGTGACTCAAAATTTTGTATAATTGTTGATGAAGCTCGTGATGAATCTAGAAGAGAACAAATGGCTATTGTTTTGAGATTTGTAGATAAAATGGGTAATATTAAAGAGCGCTTTGATATTATGCATGTTAAGGATACTACAGCTGCTACTCTTAAAAGAGAATTATGTGTTGTTCTCTCTAGACATAATCTTGATGTTTCCAATATTCGTGGGCAAGGATATGATGGTGCTAGTAATATGAGAGGAGAATGGAATGGATTACAAGCATTATTTCTTCATGATAATCCTTATGCTTATTATGTACATTGTTTTGCTCATAGATTACAACTTGCTTTGGTTGCTGCT